GGGCCTTTGTCAAATGTCAACTGCTCATAGATGGATGAATTTATGTCTGGATTCTCAATTCTGTTCCATTGGTCTATGTCTCTGTTGTTGTACCAGTACCAGGCTGTTTTGACTACCGTGGTGGTATAATAGGTTCTAAAATCAGGTAGTGTGAGGCCTCCCACTTTGTTCTTCTTCTTGAGTAATGCTTTACTTATTCGAGGCCTCTTCCATTTCCATGTAAAGTTGGTGATTTGTTTCTCCATCTCATTAAAGAATGCCGTTAGAATTTGGATCGGGATTGCATTGTATCTGTAGATGGCTTTGGGTAGAATTAACATTTTCACAATGTTGAGTCTACCTATCCATGAGCAAGGTATGTTTTTCCACTTACGCAGGTCTCTTTTGGTTTCTTGCGGTAGTGTCTTGTAGTTTTCATTGTATAGGTCTTTTACGTCTCTGGTTAGATTTATTCCTAAGTATTTGATCTTCTTGGGGGCTATTGTAAATGGTATTGATTTGATGATTTCTTCTTCGAGGTTCTCTTTGTTGGTGTAGAGGAATCCAACTGATTCTTGTATGTTTATCTTGTATCCTGAAACTTTGCTGAAATCTTCTACTCGTTCCAGTAGTTTTCTTGTGGATTCTTTGGGGTTTTCTGTGTATAAGATCATATCATCTGCAAATGGAGGTGCTTTGACTTCTTCCCTACCAATTTGGATGTACTTTATTTCTTTTTCTAGCCTAATTGTTCTGGCTAGGACCTCCAGCACAATGTTGAATAAGAGTGGTGATAAAGGGCATCCTTGTCTGGTTCCCATTCTCAAGGAGAATGCTTTAAAAGTCTCTCCATTTAGGATGATGTTGGCTGTTGGCTTTGTATAAATGCCCTTAATTATGTTGAGGAATTTCCCTTCTATTCCTATGTTGTTGAGATTTTTTTTTATCATGAATGAGTGTTGGACTTTGCCAAATACCTTTTCTGCATCGATTAATAAGATCATGTGGTTCTTGTCTTTTGCTTTTATTTATGTGATGGATTACATTGACTGTTTTTCTAATGTTGAACCATCCCTGCATACCTGGTATAAGTCCCACTTGATCAAGGTGAATTTTTTTTTGATACGCTGCTGAATTCTATTGGCTAGAATTTTGTTGAGGATTTTTGCGTCAAAGTTTATGAGGGATATCAATCTGTAATTTTCTTTTTTTTTGTGGTGTCTTTACCTGGTTTTGGTATCAGGGTTATGCTGGCTTCATAGA